CCATGTTGAGTCCATGCTCAGACTGGTATTACTAGTCTGAGGTCCATGGAAAGACCAAATATATGGCTGAATTAGACAAAAAAATGGGTCATGTACAACTTCTGATTAATTAACATATTCAATAGACTGTATAACAAGAGACAAACAATAACTTAAGGTAGCAGGATAGTTTTTTTGCATGAAAAATGTAAACACCTATAATCGGAATAAATTTTACAAGAAACCATACAATCTATATATGTTTGGAAAGCTCTTGACTTGTATTTTTCTATTATTAATATTTTGTGAACATTGTGTTTGTTTTAGCGTCACGTGATTCTGAAAATCGGCAGGGCTGATAATTTAACTAACATGAATAAAATTTTAATTGTCATGTCCACAGTCATTCATGTGATCAAAACCTTTACATTGTTTTGAAGCAAAGGTCATGAAGTTTAAATCTGTATTTCTATTTTTTGCATTAATTTTTTTTTTCTTTCCGAAAATCACAAATTTCAAGCACGTTTTTTGGTGTTAAAGTTAGTGTATACCAATGGTTTGCATGACGTTTGTGAAAAAACGCAATAGAATTTTGCAAATATGTCAATACGGATATGAAGCCAACATATCCAAGAGTAAGAAAAGCTAAACGGCGACATAGTAGCGCTACTCACTGAAACGCTATTTAAAATTAGGTCAACGGTAATTGCCAGAAACCGAACACCGTGAAATCGGCACTTTTATGATTTCAAACTTCAATCAACGTTAACTCCCGTTTTTGCTGCAAAATTTACATGGGCTAACTGTAAATGAAATACTTTGAAAGTTGTTTTCGAGAAAAATTATGACCCGACATTTATATCTGTGAAAAACTTTGTTTTTTGGCCGTTTTCTTTCACGCTATGAAGTTTTGTGGCGGTCTGTGCTGATAACGAATGGTGACGTCATTCATTAAAGCTTGGATTATGCAAAGTGAGTGGTTCTGTTTACGAGTAACAAACAATACAGACACTACAATTGGCAGTTGAAGTGTTTTTAAATACAGTGTATTTATTTTGGGGGTCGTTGTATTTGTAAACTTATTAGTTCAAGCATGCCACGAGTTTCGAAGTCTCCTGGAGGCAGAAGAACACCTTCCGACAAAATCCATGACTACCCCAACTATAGCTGCGGTTCCGTAGCTCTTTGGTGCGACATACAATCTAATTTTGCCCTAACAATTTCATTCGGACGTCTTGTTTTTATTTTTGTTATTGTATGTCGAACATATGGGCCGGCCAGTGTCTGTCACGTAAATAATGCAGTCGGCAACATAGGGCTATGATTCCACAGCTACCCCAACTACCATCAATTGTCACTGCTAAGTCAGCCGTCTCTTCTTCGTTTTCAATTTCTTTTAGACTGAACTTGATTTCCCGCAATTTCTGGGCTGCTTCTTTGAACTCGTCTTCCAATAGTAACTCTCCATTTTCAGCCACAGCTCGTACATACTGGCGAAAGGGCGGACCCGTTACTGGTTGAGGTAACCCCAAATAGGTCGACAGTTTCATCAGAGCGTGCAGTCCCTTTCCAATCGCTCGCATTCCAATGGCAGCCTTTCTATTTATTTCGAAAACTGCTCCCTTCTTTCGGGATGACGGGAAGCTAGCACGCTACTATTTCGTTGCCGTGCATTTTGTTCGCATGAATACATTAGATAAAACAACCAAGTATTTATCAGACAGATTTATTACATGTAACATAATTTAGGAATTTAGAAAAACCTAAGCATGCAAGTATACCTACTTGGTGAAAACTCCTCTGAAGTGGGGATCATACAAACCAGGTCTAAGCATATTCTTATCATTGATCAACCTTTACATGTAGTTTGTGGCCTGTTATCAGAATTTTCATGCAATGCATAGCCACCACAGATGACTGTATTTTATTGTTTGCAACCGTATTTTGTAAAAGGGAGCCCCCCCATTGTAACTGCATTTCTTCTGGACTAAGAAAGTAACCCCTTGGTCAGACACCTTTCAATGACAAAGCCAAGATAAAATATTACAGAAATTTTTTGTAAGTTTTTATTCTGTTAACATATAATTACATTGAAGTGGTACATTCATGTACTTTTTTGTTTATTCAAAATTTGTTGTTTCAAAAGCGATTGTTTTGTCTTTGCTGTACTTCCTCATCTAGAAAAGCAGCAGTGCACACATCTTATCAGCTGTGTGTAAACTACAAACAGATATCTTATCAGTTGTTTGTAAATAGCAAATAAAGAAAGTGGCCCAACTTAAAACTATTCACCCTCAGTTCAGTTATGTTTGTAAACCATGCATATTAATGAGATGCACTAGTTGGGTGTACACTGGATAAACAAAAACTTGGCCATTTGTTTGCACACTAGAAAAAAACCAGTTTACTTGTACAAGATTTTTTTTTTTCAATAAAATAAATACACCCATGTATGTAGCATACCTTAGGGAGCTATTCGTGTGATTTTCAAAAAAAATTGTGAAAAGTACTCAAAAAACTATTCTGCTACCTTAACACAGTAGTACCACAAGGAAGCTAACAACAACAAAAAACAACCAAGCCTAAATGTGTCTATGAAGTTTGTTTTGTTTTACGTCTTGAAACAAAGGTTATTTGACTTGAGTAGTTGCTGAGATGTTTACACTCAGTCTGATCACGTACGAGAATTCCTTTATTAATACTGACTAGACAATACATTTACTCATGTGACCATTGATAACACATCCAAGATCCTTTATAGTTTTTAATTATGATGTATTATAGAGTGACACAAATACATGCCATGTTATTGTATACAGGTTTACCACACATTTCATGATGAAGTCAACAATTATCGCCAACATTGGTGGAAATGTAATGGAGTTTGTCAGAAAAAGCCGCCATATTTTGGTGTTGTTAAGCGTGCAATGAACAGAGCCCCTTCAGCAAGGGATCCTTGGTGGGGAGAACATCAACGGTCTTGTGGAGGCATTTACATTAAAATAAAGGAGCCTGATGGATATGGACAAAAGAAATCTAAAAACAAGAGCATTATAACTGCAGCTAAAAAAGGTGAGCACAATGGAGTGCAATTAGCCACACTTGTCTCTGCAATACAATGCATCTGATGAATATTTAATGAGCCGACTTGAATGATGTGAAGGCATGTGTTAAAAAAAGCTGAAAAGTCAATGAAGAAGTATAGGAATTTATGTTAATGACATTAGCATCTATTGTGCATTCAATCACCATGGGGCAGGTGTTGCAACTTTCTCACAGACTCTAAATTATAAAACAACACCATGGGAAGTAGTTTATTCACGTGACTACCAGTATTCTATACTTTCCGTAGTACAATTAATGTATGACTCTCAAATGCAGCTGTTATTGACAAATGACGCACATGTTATATGTGACAGGAGTGTCTCGGCATTGCAAAAGTCTCATGTGATGAGACTGCTTTTAGCTACTAATCATTCCATCTGATGCATTTAGTGTACAGTCCAGCTGCAATGTTGCTCACAGTTACAATACAATTATGGTGTTTTTTCTATTAGAAGTGCTTCTCCAATAGAAATGCATATAAACCTAAAATTGTATTACTGAATCATTAAAATATGTTGTTTTTTTAAAAAATAAAGTAATGTCATTTATGTCAGTATCTGTGCTATGAATCAAGCATATATGATACAAACTCTTTTGTTTGGGCTGTGTAGACCTTACAGATGCCACAAATCAGTCTGTGAAGTTGTATACCATAAACAAATCTATTAATTCTGAGAAGTCAAAATAATTGTTTCTTCAAGAAGGTACAAATAGAATACAAATGTATTTTTGTTTGTATGTCCAAATTAATAGACCATTTTTTCATCGGTTCAATAATTACTGATTTTTTTTTCGGATGAAATAAATACAGACAGACAGTACATTTTCCATGATCCGATGTAGTATTGGCAGGTTTGGGGGGAATTTGACAATAAGTGTCCTTTTAATAGAGCTGTGTAGAAAGTAAAGTAAGTATATATAAGTTGTTTACAATACAAAATTATGTAACTGGAACTTTGTTGATCTAGCATGCTTGTACTGACACAGGGTCAAGCAGTTGTCAAATCAAAGACATGAACTCACACATCAGTTCTATCATGGCATCCATATATGGTAGCAATGAACTTAAACTTTTCACTAACATGGTGCCAAGTCATTCAAGCATTGTCTAAGGTAATGTTATGATCTATATGCAATGTTTTAAAGTTACGTTTATGTTATGAGGAAAAAGTTTGAAATTATTGATGGTACAATGTGTTGTGATCTTTGGTTGGAATCACCGGAGATGTGACTTGACGCTTACATCAAGATCTGTTAAGTTTTGCAACACATCTTTTTTTTTTTAATTTCCTTGCTATGTTTTACATGAATGCTATGAATTTATAAAATACATTTAATAATTATTATTTTTTAACACAATAAATTAAAAGAATGCATTTAATAATTATTATTTTAAAATAAACTGGGTATGTGAATTAATAGGGACTGCTGATTGATACAGTAACCAAGTTATAATTTGTACATCTTGCAACAAAAATAATAGAATTTAGCTTGCATGTTTTTGAAACATATTTGCATTCATTTGAAATTTTCCTCTTATGAGAAATAAATTACAACATAAAAATCATTCTAAATTACTTATGTCACACTTTCTTTTCCTTTCATCAGATACGAAACCATGTCATAAAAAATAGACGCAAACTTTCACACAGCGAAAACTGTTTTTCATTGCCATTTCAGGATATTATCTCTCATTAAATTATTACTACAGGCTGGAAACAGATGTATAATAAGAAGGTTATCCCGAGAATACCGCAAAGTATGCATGCAGGCAGTATGGGAATACTTTGATCTGTGCTATGCATTGGTCTATATGAGCATCATACTGCCTTCGTGTATACTTCGCATTATTTTTGTGATAACCAATCTTATGGCAGTACAAAATTTTATAAATTGAAATCTAGTTTTTTTTGCTAATCACTCATTTCATTATTTTATAGATAAGAAAAAAGATGGCATTGATATACGAAATTTATTTGTTGCCAAGAAACAAGATGAAAATAATGCTGAAGAGGAGGCTAATGATGTCTGTCCTCCACCAGTATTTAGTGGATTGGGTAACAAGCTTGGAGGTTCAACCACAGGAATTTCTCGGTTGCTAGGCAATAGTCATGGATATTCACATAAAGAAAAAGCATCTACATCATTTGACAATGGCCAAGTCGTCTGTATTAACTCATCTGATGAATCTACCAGCTGCAATTATTCAAAGCCATCACTGTGCAGTAAGGGGAATACTTCAACATTTAAAAAAACTAATTTGTTAAAAAAACACAATAAAAAAAAGAGGCCAAGTCCTATAATTTGCTTTAGTAGTTCATCAGAAGATGATGGTAGTGGAGATATTGATGCCAGTAGAGCTGTGAAAAAACCCAAACTTGAATGTGATGTAAGTGAAATTTGCAAAAGTAAAGACAGTTCTTTGACTGCCAATCAAAAATTAGTAGGAGAGCAAAGCTGTGATAAGAGTGGCAGCATGGTAGATTGTCCAGTATGTGCGGATCAGGTACTGAAAACAAACATTAATGATCATCTAGATTTATGTCTGTTCAACCAAACATGAATTAAGTGCATATTTTAGGTAAACCTCAGTTTTACAGACTTGCCATTTGGCAGGATAAGACTCTTGTTATTAATAAAGTAATAATAAGTTAAAAAGGTCCAAAACATACTGGTATATTTCTTGGCAATAAAAAAATAAAAAAACACATTAAAAAGTACTACCAGTAATGGAGACATGTGTATTATATTAATATTGCATTATGGATGTAACAGAATACAAACTCCATTCCATATAGAGGCTCATCTATCATAGTATTATATTGTTTTGTTTTTTCATTTAGCACTGGTGTTATTCATCAAAAGTTACTGTTCCTTTATTTATTTTTTATTATGTATGCGTTCTATACATTTACAACACAAAAGAATATTTAAAGTTTAAAAAAATCACACAAGATAAAAATGACTAATAAAGACTGGCATTAAAATAAATGATTGGGACCTGGAAAAAAAATTTACAAATTCAACCATATTTACCGAATCGAAATAAAAAAAAAAAACATACTAAACAATAAAAATTGTTTTGGAAAGTACCTGAAACTTGTTTGAATACAGTGTCTATTGTACAGAATCAAGTATGTAGAGCATGAAATAAAACATCACATGTTAAAAAACTTGATTTGTATGTGTCATGTGTTTGTATTATGCTCTACAGAGAAGAATGTGTAACTGATTTGATGTGATATACCATTACAAATTTCAAGATAAATACGCATTTCTACAATGCAAATAAGTGATTTTCTAAAAGAAATGAAATTTTTTTGTCTTCGTGTATTTGCAGAGTGTATATGTTTTGCCGCCTTGATAAAGCTTATAACCTTGCAAGTCCCCATTTTCATACTGTGTTCGAACGGGGATTAATAATTACAAGGCAGGGCGTTATAGGGTATACAATTAATTAATCCTGTATTACAAGGCAGGACAATATTTTTTATATATTATGAGGCAGGGCAATATGAAGTAAATTACAAGACTGGTGAAAAAAGTATAGCTTTAAGCAGGACTATATGAGGTGTAGAATTACAGGGCATGGCATTATGAGGTGTTGAATTACAGGGCATGGCATTATGAGGTGTTGAATTACAGGGTAGGACTATACGAGGTGTCAAATTACAGGGCAGGGCATTAGGAGGTGTAGAATTACAGGGCATGACATTATGAGGTGTTGAATTACAGGGCATGGCATTATGAGGTGTTGAATTACAGGGTAGGACTATACGAGGTGTAAAATTACAGGGCAGGGCATTATGAGGTGTAGAATTACAGGGTATGGCATTATGAGGTGTAGAACTACAGGGTAGGACTATACGAGGTGTAAAATTACAGGGCAGGGCAGTCTGAGGTGTAGAATTACAGGGTTAGGACTATATGAGGTGTAGAATTACAGGGCAGGGCAATATGAGGTGTAAAATTACAGGGCAGGGCAGTCTGAGGTGTAGAATTACAGGGTTAGGACTATATGAGGTGTAGAATTACAGGCCAGGGCAATATGAGGTGTAAAATTACAGGGCAGGGCAGTATGAGGTGTAGAATTACATGGTATGGCTATACAAGGTGTAGGATTACAGGGTAGGGCTATATGAGGTGTAGAATTACAGAGCATGGCAGTCTGAGGTGTAGAATTACATGGTATGGCTATACGAGGTGTAGAATTACAGGCTAGGGCTATATGAGGTGTAGAATTACAGGCTAGGGCTATATGAGGTGTAGAATTACAGGGTAGGGCTATATGAGGTGTAGAATTACAGAGCATGGCAGTCTGAGGTGTAGAATTACATGGTATGGCTATACGAGGTGTAGAATTACAGGCTAGGGCTATACGAGGTGTAGAATTACAGGCTAGGGCTATATGAGGTGTAGAATTACAGAGCATGGCAGTCTGAGGTGTAGAAATACATGGTATGGCTATACGAGGTGTAGAATTACAGGCTAGGGCTATATGAGGTGTAGGATTACAGGGTTATGGCTATATGAGGTGTAGAATTACAGGCTAGGGCATTATGAGATGTAGAATTACAGGGTAGGGCTATATGAGGTGTAGAATTACAGGATAGGGCTATATGAGGTGTAGAATTACAGGGTAGGGCTATATGAGGTGTAGAATTACAGGACATGGCAGTCTGAGGTGTACAATTACAGGGTAGGACTATATGGGGTGTAGAATTACAGGACATGGCAATCTGAGGTGTACAATTACATGGTTAAGGCTATATGAGGTGTAGAATTACAGGATAGGGCTATATGAGGTGTAGAATTACAGGGTAGGGCTATATGAGGTGTAGAATTACAGGGTAGGGCTATATGAGGTGTAGAATTACAGGGTAGGGCTATATGGGGTGTAGAATTACAGGACATGGCAGTCTGAGGTGTAGAATTACATGGTTAAGGCTATATGAGGTGTAGAATTACAGGATAGGGCTATATGAGGTGTAGAATTACAGGATAGGGCTATATGAGGTGTAGAATTACAGGGTAGGGCTATATGAGGTGTAGAATTACAGGGTTAAGGCTATATGAGGTGTAGAATTACAGGGTTAAGGCTATATGAGGTGTAGAATTACAGGATAGGGCTTATATGAGGTGTAGAATTACAGGGTAGGGCTATATGAGGTGTAGAATTACAGGGTTAAGGCTATATGAGGTGTAGAATTACAGGATAGGGCTATATGAGGTGTAGAATTACAGGATAGGGCTATATGAGGTGTAGAATTACAGGGTAGGGCTATATGAGGTGTAGAATTACAGGGTTAAGGCTATATGAGGTGTAGAATTATAGGACATGGCAGTCTGAGGTGTAAAATTACAGGGTTAAGGCTATATGAGGTGTAGAATTCCAGGGTTAAGGCTATATGAGGTGTAGAATTACAGGACATGGCAGTCTGAGGTGTAGAATTACAGGACATGGCAGTCTGAGGTGTAGAATTACAGGATAGGGCTATATGAGGTGTAGAATTACAGGGTTAAGGCTATATGAGGTGTAGAATTATAGGACATGGCAGTCTGAGGTGTAGAATTACAGGGTTAAGGCTATATGAGGTGTAGAATTACAGGGTAGGGCTATATGGGGTGTAGAATTACAGGGTTAAGGCTATATGAGATGTAGAATTACAGGGTAGGGCTATATGGGGTGTAGAATTACAGGGTAGGGCTATATGAGGTGTAGAATTACAGGATAGGGCTATATGAGGTGTAGAATTACAGGACATGGCAGTCTGAGGTGTAGAATTACAGGGTTAAGGCTATATGAGGTGTGGAATTACAGAGTAGGGATATATGAGCTGTTGAATTACAGGGTAGGGCTATATGAGGTGTAGAATTACAGGAAGGGCTATATGAGGTGTAGAATTACAGGGTAGGGCTATATGAGGTGTAGAATTACAGGATAGGACTATATGAGGTGTAGAATTACAGGGTTAAGGCTATATGAGGTGTAGAATTACAGGGTAGGGCTATATGAGGTGTAGAATTACAGGATAGAGCTATATGAGGTGTAGAATTACAGGGTTAAGGCTATATGAGGTGTAGAATTACAGGGCATGGCAGTCTGAGGTGTAGGATTACAGGGTTATGGCTATGTGAGGTGTAGAATTACAGGGTAGGGATATATGAGGTGTAGAATTACAGGGTAGGGCTATATGACGTGTAGAATTACAGGGTAGGGCTATATGAGGTGTAGAATTACAGGGTAGGGCTATATAGGGTGTAGAATTACAGGACATGGCAGTCTGAGGTGTAGAATTACATGGTTAAGGCTATATGAGGTGTAGAATTACAGGATAGGGCTATATGAGGTGTAGAATTACAGGGTAGGGCTATATGAGGTGTAGAATTACAGGGTAGGGCTATATGAGGTGTAGAATTACATTGTTAAGGCTATATGAGGTGTAGAATTACAGGGTTAAGGCTATATGAGGTGTAGAATTATAGGACATAGCAGTCTGGGGTGTAAAATTACAGGGTTAAGGCTATATGAGGTGTAGAATTCCAGGGTTAAGGTTATATGAGGTGTAGAATTACAGGGTAGGGCTATATGAGGTGTAGAATTACAGGATAGGGCTATATGAGGTGTAGAATTACAGGACATGGCAGTCTGAGGTGTAGAATTACAGGGTTAAGGCTATATGAGGTGTAGAATTACAGGGTAGGGCTATATGAGGTGTAGAATTACAGGATAGAGCTATATGAGGTGTAGAATTACAGGGTTAAGGCTATATGAGGTGTAGAATTACAGGGCATGGCAGTCTGAGGTGTAGGATTACAGGGTTATGGCTATGTGAGGTGTAGAATTACAGGGTAGGGATATATGAGATGTACAATTACAGGGTAGGGCTATATGAGGTGTAGAATTACAGGGTAGGGCTATATGAGGTGTATAATTACAGGGTAGGGCTATATGAGGTGTAGAATTACAGGATAGGGCTATATGAGGTGTAGAATTACAGGGTTAAGGCTATATGAGGTGTAGAATTACAGGGCATGGCAGTCTGAGGTGTAGGATTACAGGGTTATGGCTATGTGAGGTGTAGAATTACAGGGTAGGGATATATGAGATGTACAATTACAGGGTAGGGCTATATGAGGTGTAGAATTACAGGGTAGGGCTATATGAGGTGTATAATTACAGGGTAGGGCTATATGAGGTGTAGAATTACAGGATAGGGCTATATGAGGTGTAGAATTACAGGACATGGCAGTC